GTACTTGCACCAATACGAGCGCGCATAGATCGTCCCATGCCCCTCCATGTATTCCGTACGGATGGTCGCAGGGGGTAAATCAGTCTGCTCAGAGGTCGCCGCAATCAGACTGTCGATGGTTTTGAAGCATTCTTCAAGAGCGCGGCGTGTTTTCGTAGTTCGACGCCCCTGAGGCAGACGGTCTGGCGACGCGTTACCTTTGTCTTCAGCGTCGCTCTGTTCATCGGCCTCGGCGGCCTGTGGGGGGCTACAGATACGTTGCCTCTCAGCTGAGGCTACTGCCTCAAGCCGGCGGGTAAAACCTTCCAGAAATGGGTCGGCAGAGGGCGCCTGGCGGTTAGAGAGCATTGCAGAGGGCCCAGAGCCCTTGGGGCTGGGAGTAGCGCAAGGGGATGGAGAAAGGGAATATGGGGCATCGGACGTCAAAGACAACAACGTATCCTCATCCAACTCTGCGAGGTCGTCGTCCATGGACGTCAAACTGCCCGTCAGGAACGGGTTGGCACCCTCAAGTGGGGCATCAGGAGCCATGGCTTCCAAAGGCCCCGTCAAAAACGCGTCCTCCGGAACATCAGGCTCGAGTGCCAATCGTCGCTTGGCGGCCCTCTGGGCCTCTGGCGAGGCGTTGGGGGTGGTCTTTATGACTTGGCGAAGGTTGTACGGGCCTCCGCCAACCTGAGGAGGGCCAGTTGCAGGAGAGGACGGGATTACTTCACAGTCTGCATGGCTGGACATCAGGCATGGCCGGCAAACGTCAAGAGGCAACTTACCAGGCATTTCTAGCTGCATATCGGGACGCGCAATGAGCTGGCTAGCGTTGAGGAAAGTTGGTGCAGAGTATACGCAGATAGATAAGAGGATTTTTTTTGAAAAAGCTGAAGGAAGGAAGTCGAATCTTGGGACCCGGGAAGTTCACGGGCGGCCTGACTTCCAACGCTTCGTTCGCGGAGATCACTGTCAACCTCTGACAGGTAGTGAAGGTCTGGGAGGAAGTGACGAAAGCTTGGAGGCTTCTTGGAAACCGCGAGGAGCAGCTTGGTACAGCCTCTGCAGTGCTGATGAAAAGCGAGCGCTAGCGGGTAGCAAACACGGCTAGCAATGCGTACGGGTGATGCAGCGTCCGTGGGGGGCAAAGCGCAGTTGGGGAGGGGCGCGCAGGGTTCAGCAAGCTCATGCATCCAAAAACGATTCTCCAGCAGCAAATTAGAAGCCCTTCCTCTCCCATTTAGCCCAACCTTCATGCCTTCCTCTCCACAATATGCCAACTTTGGAACGCTTGTCAGACGTTGTCTTCGCGTTGCCAGATGCGACGGCGGGTATTGCGTTTATTAGAGCCAAATCGCAATTAATTTTCCCTAAATGCAGCAGGTATAGCTTTGAGAAGCCTAGCCCATACGCGCTCTGAAAACTCCTCCGGAGAAACCTCAGTTGCCGTGCGCTCCTCGGGACTTATGACAACGTCATACTGGTGCCCACGCAAGTACTCTCCACAAAAGTCTGCTGTCGAGAAATATGATGAGCGCTGCAGCACATGAGATTAGACTGAAACGTTAGGGAAGAATATGCTCACCCTCCTGCTACGGTCGCAATCCAAGCTCATCCAGACTTCCCAGTCATCAAAATGAGGGCTCTTGTAGTCTCCGTCCGCGCGAGCAGACGGCGCGCAATCCAGCAGCTGTTAGTGCATCAAAATGTTGTGATAACCGGGCCAAAACGTAGGCCCACCATGGAGGAAACCTTGCGCTGCCAGACAGAGAGGTCGTTCTCCACGTACGCGGCATACACCCCATCGACGACCTTCATGGGGTCTGGAAATCTATCCTCCCACAGGATTTGCAGCAATGCGAGATACTCGTCCAATTTCCCAGCCTCTACTGCTCGTAAAAATGCGGGGGTCACTTCTTTGACGAACCGCTCTTCGTCGGACCGCCACGCCAACCGAATCGCCTTTCTCTTGATAGTGGGGAACGTCATTCTGAAGGCACGCATTAGTTGTAGTCATTTAGGCAGGAAAGACGTCCGTACCGCAGAATGCAGAGGTTGCAGAGGTTGGAAGTGAGTACCGAGAGACATTGGAAGTGCCAGTGCGAATCAATGTAATGGAAGCAGCCCGGGCCGCATTAACTTCACGTAGGAAAAACTCTTGACTTATCAATGTATATATCCGAGATTGCTGGGCGATGTGGCTCAATGGTTTAAGTCGTGCTGTTGTCAGCCATTGGGCGTGGGTTCGAATCCCAACACCGTCATAGGAACTTCCTGGAAACCATATTTTTGTTCACAACAACGCGAATCCTGTATATTTTATATTTCATGAGGACCTTGTACCCTATGCCTTGTACCCTATGCGAAAGTTCGACTCTCCCAAGTGCAAAGGATCTACTCCCAAGACCTGCGTAGCTAGGCTGCCTTGGCTATTTGCTATTGTTTGCACGCGGTCAACAAACGCATTTGGCCCCGCTGCCCTTGCTTTACAACGCCCGCGCCTGCTGAGATTCGAGTACGGAACTCGGCAGGCGCTTCTCCCACCCCGCCCTTCCTTTTCGCCCCGGTCTTGCCTGCTTTCCAACGCCCACGCCCGCTGAGATTCGAGTACGGAACTCTGCAGGCGCTCGAGGCTGCGGACTCCCACTCTGCTCTTCCTTTTTTTCCCTGGCCTTGCCTGCTGGCCAACTCAAGTGCCTGCTGAGATCTGTCGCGCCCCCGCCCCACGATTGAACTATTCTTTTATCATTACGTTTGTCCTCGTACTTTACAATCAACAAGCTTTTTTTCTGAATTTATTGGGTTATGAGCTTCAATGAGCTGCAGAAGCCCGTGCAGCCTCCTCCTGCGCCGTTGGATATTCAGCAAAGTTCTCCTCCTCGTATCCTCGATGCTTCGCTTCGTTGTAATATTCATCCTCCCCTTCGCTGTAGTCCCCCTCGGCCCTCTTCGTCTCCCTCTCGTCAATCAACTCCTGCATTTCTTCTCGATGTTGTTCAAGAGCCACTCTGTCTAAGGGATCAGCAGCGAGAGCGACCTCTACATTGGCCTGCTAACCTTTCATAGTAGGCCATTTTTCTGGTGACGAAGGTGAGTTGCTTCCGGGTCCGAGGAGAGATCAAGAAACTTACCTGTGGTAGGAGTCCATCTCCCGCGAAGCCAGGCAATACTGCCATTCTTCGTCATACGGTCCGTCGTCGTCCCAAAACCCCGTGTCTTCGCTGAACACCTCCACTTTGTTGCTAACAGCCTCCACTTTGTCACTAGCCGCCTCCGCTTTGTAACTAGCCAACTCCTCTTCATCGACGTCGCGAGGCACGCTTGGATTGGCAGTTTTCTTTGCATCGGAGGCTTTCATGCCGTCGGAGGTCGTGGAGGAAGCCATGGGGGCGTGGGAAGCCAAGAGCGCGACTTTTTTGATTATGTACGTGTACAGTGTTTACCTTGCCCTCAGCCCAGCATGGCTTCCATCACAGCAGCGAATTCTCAATTCTCATTCGAGACTGCTCTTCACGAAGCCTGGGCCAAAGAATATGTTGAAGATCCATTTTTATCACCCTCACCCCTGTCCTCTCCGCCAACCTCGCGCTCGCCGTCCCCAACTCCCCCAAGGCCTCCTTTGCCCTCTATTCCGAGCCACGCGATTTCTCAAGCGGGCGCGCCTTCAAACTCTCGAAAGCGTCGAAACAAGGCGCAGAGCAAGGCCAGACGCCAGCGCCAGCGACTGGAGGAACAAAGCACCAGGACAGAGCCTAACCCCGTGCGCGCTAAGACAATGGCGAAGTTCGCGAAGATATCAGCGTCAATTCCAGTCAAAATACAGGCAGAATCATTCGCTACAGCCTCCACAGGTTTCATAGGCCGCAACTGCTCACCACTTCCTCGCGCACTTCGCCTCGACGAGTTAGTGGGCCCTTCTTCCAGCTTCGGCTTTCGCCTCGTCAAGTGGGACGGCAAAGCGCCCATCCGAATTGTTGATGAGTGCGGCCGGATTATCGTCGTTTGCGCCGGCCAAGCGGGAACAACTGCCTCTTGGGAAGAAACCCTCCGGCTTGCCACGGAAAAGCTTGAGCACGCTCGCAAATGCGGTCGGTTCCCTGCGGAGGCCTTGGAGCACGCTCGCGGCTCATTCCCAACCATGTCCAGTGGCTTTTCACACGGAGGGGGCAGGAAAGAGCCCCAGAACCAACGCTCCTCCTCTTCAACCAACGCCCTCCTCGTCGCGGACTTGGTCGATGCCTTCGAGCCCATCGCAGGCTTCCAATCCAGTGAGTCTATATTTGCCCGTCTGCACGCACCCCTTCTTGACCCTCTGCAGGCGTCTTTGCCCACTGGGCCCCCCGACTCCACGCGCACTACAAAGACCTGATGTCTCAACTTTGCGGGCAAGATTCCAAGCTCAAGCGGAACTGGGCGAAGAGCGTCTTCGCATCGGCCGTTTTCAACCTAGGACCCCGCACGGTTTGTTTTAAACACAGGGACTTCGCGAATATTCCTTACGGCTGGTGCGCCGTCACGGCACTGGGCTCGTTCGACTCGACGCTGGGAGGCCACATCGTTCTGTGGGACCTGGGGCTCGTTATCGAATTCCCTTCGGGTTCCACCATTCTTCTTCCCTCTGCCGTGATTGCCCACTCCAACGCAGCTATCCAGGAAAACGAAACCCGGTATTCCTTCACTCAATATACAGCGGGTGGTTTATTTCGATGGGCGGCGCACGGCATGAAGAGCAACAGCGACTTTATGAAGACAGCGACGGAAGAGCAGTTGGCGGAGGCTCAGAAAAGGGACACCGAGCGGTGGAAACTTGGTCTTGGGCTCTTCTCGACGGAAGCAGAGTTGCAGGCTTGGGCCGAGGGAGCAAGGTAGACATTTTGTAACGGGAATCGGCGTGTAATCATAACCTCCTTCGTGAAATAACAACAGCTTGAATTGCAGTACTTTCTACGAAAAGACAGTTTGATATAAAAACTCTTTCGAACGATACATTAACTCTAGATCGACTTGATCCTCCGCCGTTGAATAAAACCCCAAGTCTTCCAGACTCTGCAGGACAGAAGAGACGCGCTTCTGGATTCCTTCGGCTGCGCGCCATTCATCCCCTGCGCCAGACAATTGGAGAATCCTTGCCTGAAATTCCTTGAGCTTTTTTTGCAAATGCATCATGACGGTGATGTGGTTGAAGATGGGTTGCGATTTGCGGCTCTCCATATAATCTATGTACAGCGATTCCAGGAATTTGAAGGCCGAGTTGCCCACCAACGCTTGCAACTTTGACTCTAAGCGCAGTGTTTGAGCTGTCCAATATTGAATGCATTGCGGATTCTCCCTGAATTGAAAGCTCTGTCAGTTCGTAAGCATGTGATATTAACGACGTAACGTGCGTTGGATCTCTTGTACGGCTGGAGGGCGGTTCGCGAGGGCCTACGTCTTGAGAATGCTCTTGAGTTGCGTTGATTTCATGGCTGTAGGCGTTCAGAAACTACGCCGGACGGTTTGAAGAAACACTGACTTTCTACGTTTGCCCTGATGCCCTCTTTTCTTCGCCTCCTTCTTGCGTCGACTGCTAATGGTTGTTTTGTGCCTGCAAGTCCCATATGTTAATGAAATCAGAATAATGGCGTTGTGAGGGCGTACCTTTGATAGCTCCGCCGAGCTTTGGCATTGGCAGCAAGTCGGCGCTCTTCGGGAGTGTGATAGAGCCGACGCCGGCCCATGTTAGGTGGGGACAATGGATGTAAGTGATCAAAGGTGATGATGCTATAAAGTTTTAGCGAGCCCCTCCCTTACCTTTTTCGCGCTGTCTTACCTTTTTATTCTACCATCTAATTAGTCAATTTTTTTTAAGAATTCAACAAAGTGTATATATAACATCATCATTGACAATTTATGTACGCTTTCATGTAGTATTGGGCTTATAACTTGAGTTCAATGTTTTCACAGAATCGGACCGGCTGTTTGCACATGTATAGATTGGTCATCATTTGCTGCCGGTCCGCAAGTAAGTTTTTCCCCACTACAAAGTCAAAACTTTTCGGGGGTAAGTTTTAAAGTTTTAAACGCCTAACTTAACGTTGAATTGCCGGTAGTGATCGATCGTTATAATGAAACAAGAATGGCTGAGCCACTTAGAAGTCATAAAGGGGGCAAATACAGAGGAAGAGATGGCATTTTTGAACTACGTAGCGCCGTTCTACAAGCAGGCTCTCGAACAGAAAAGCCTTCCTGCCTTTTATAAGGGACTACGGGTCGTTTGGGAGGATAGATTTCCACGGAGCGGCCCGCACCATGCCATGGACGAGGCGCAATGGCAAGCCTTCTTGAAAAGAAAGGTCAGTAACATCTTGTGGCCCCAACTGCGCACTGGCACATCTGGCTCTAGATTTTTTGGATAGGTTTTTTTGCGGGAAATACTAGGGATTTCCCCCCCAACTTGAGGACATGGCAGGCAGCGCTGACCGTCGACGCCGACCGCCTTAGACGCGTATGTGTCTTCCTTCGTTGTGAGATCAAACCTAACTTGACCTGGCGTGCAGCGAATCGAATATTTTGCGTTTGCTAGGCTTGGACGCTTCCTGAAGACTCAACAGTACCAGACTGCAGTTTCAAGTGAAGAAAGGGTCATTGTGGAAGGGTTTCCTGTTGATTTGCCAAGGCGCATCTATTATTCCGTTCTGGATGAGCTGGAAGACAGAGTTTACAGTAGGCTATAGTCTCCTCGCCTCCTCTATGTTATACATAGCCGCAATAGCCAGAACGCTCCCTGTATGAGCTCTATGCGAGGCGCGTTAAAAACTGCAGAAGTGGATGCAACGTCGCAACTTACCTACCACACCTTCATCTCGGTAGGGCTATCCTAGCAAGAGTACAGGTCTGCAGAAAGGTTGGGGCCGCGCTCGTGCAAACGGGGGATTCGGCGTCGAAATGAGCTCGCAGCACGTACACAGTGAGCTTCCTTCCACCCCGCCTTTTTCTGAATCTCCACCCTAGCCTGAGCTGCGCCTGGATCGAAGTAACTGAGAAGGGTGAGGGAGACTCCTTCGTGGATCTGCGTACCTGATCTTCAACATATACAACTGCCCTACAATCTGAGACCACCGTCGAAAGCTTGATCCGTGCTGGGGGTCATCAACGGCAGCCTGTCAACGAAAGCAGGAGTAAAGGGCGAGCCGCTGCGTACCGTCTGCAGCACCAAATCATTTCCGTCGAAACAGGGCCCTTATGAGTGAATGAGGGGCATGAGAAGAGTGCTGGAGGCACCGCG